AAGGCTAACCGGTCTATAATTCCCCATGTCCTTTCTACTACCCTTTTTGATAATTGGGACCACTGATGCCACCCTCCAGTCCTCTGGAACTTCACCCGTTCTCCACAAGGTCTCAAAAATGGAGGCCAGCGGGCGTGAGAGAACCCTTGCCAACTCTCCAAGTACTTTCGGGTGTAACCCGTCAGGGCCTGGTGCCTTTGTAATGTCCAATGCCCTGAGGAGCCCCTCGACTTCAAGGGGGGGGGTGACTCTAATTTGTGCCCCTAAGTCCCCAGCCTCATCTAATCTCCTATGTGGATATCCCCCATCCTGCTTTGGGGAGAACACAGAGGCAAAATAGTCATTTAGCATCTGTGCCTGTTCCTTCATATCAGTCACTGGATCTCCTTCCTCCTTATTTAGTGGTCCCACCACTTGTCTCCCCTTCCCCTTCCGATTTACATGCTGAAAGAAGCCCTTTTTGTTGCTCTTGATATTCTTGGCAAGTCTCAGCATGTAATCAGCCTTAGCCGTGCAAAGAATCCTTCTGCAACGGGCCTCCTCCTCCTGGTATACCCTTTTGTCTATTTCCCCCAGTACCCGTTTCCTACGGAGGTTCCTCTTTCGTCTAATCCCTCTAACCACCTCCTTTCGCATCCATGGTGGCACTCTCCTCCGCCTCCCCACCTTACTGACTAGAGGTATCGTCAAGGCTTGCGCCTCCAAAACCTCCCTTTTGAGTGCCATCCACCCCTCCTCAACTCGCTTACCTTCCAGTAACCTATCCCTGGAGACTTTCCCCAGTCTGGCCTTCAGTTGAGCAACTTCGTTGAGCAACTTCAGTTGAGCGAGTAAGAGCAACTAATCTCAATGGCCATAGCAGGAAACTTGCTATTTTAATACCCACCATATTTAAAGCTCCCCAAAGCAACAGCTCACGGCAAGTGAGCTGATGGCCCGGGTGTCTTGCTCTGTTTCTAAGTATTTTAACTGACAACAAGAGCCTTCAGGAACTCCTGTTCAGCCACAGCTGAATTCCGAGCAAAGCAAAACACAGAAGAAGTGGCAGCCCCAAACTCACACTTGGCCGAAAAGAAAGCACTGTTTCAACTTCTTTTCCCCGAGCTTGAACATCAGCCGAGCAGGTAGGGGTACAACCCTAGGAAGAAAGTCGAGGATGAGGACTTTCAATTCTTCAGTTGAAGAATTAAGTCCTTCAATTCTTACACCGGCTGAAAAACCCTTGAGGTGAAAGAATTTTTTCCTGTTCGTAGCCGTTCACACCAGTCTGCCTGAGTCTAACTGGAAAATCAGAGAGTACCAGAGCTGCCTAATTCAGCCTGAGGCACCCTTTAAGATGCCCTTTGCTGTGGCCTCAGCAGGATGAGAGCTGAAGCTACGTTTTGCATCTTGCTTCGGGGAAAGCTGCACAGAAGACATCCACACACAGTCTTATAGAAAAGCAGGAAAAACAAAATGAGCCCCATTCTCATTTTTAGTGTCCGACTTCAATACAAGGAAATGTTTACCTCCCCTCTGCTTTGTAGCCCTGTGTTTATGGATTGTCCAGCTCAGGAAAGATTCCAAAGATCCCTTGGTCAAAGGGTGGCTTAACCAATTATGGATGCAGAAAAGGGGACTAGCTGAATCCGGGCCCAAAGACAATGCATGAATCACAGGTGTTTTTATGAACGATCGTTGAGCGAGCTCGGACATTGCGTTTTTGAACTGGAAAATGCTTCGTCTCAGAAAGCCGTCCCAGATTAAACACTGAAAAATAGAAAGGTAGTACAGAGACAGAAGAAAGAGGGCTGAGGAAATCACCCCCTCTCCTCTTTCCATAGGAGACCTTGCCCCCATCTCCGGGCATTCACCGTGAAGCCCCACCCTGCGCCAAAAGCCGGGCTTGCGAAGCCCCCCACCCGCCCAAGCGGGGGTCCCTGCGGCTGCTACCCTGCTGTGGAGCAGAAACATGACCCGTCCTTGCGCGGTTGGTGTCAGCTTGGCCTTCCGAAATAGATACAAGGAGTGCGGGGGCGCATGTTCCCGTGCAGACTTCTCTGACCTACATACCAAGCTCGACTCTGCCTGCGTCAACAGCGTGCCCTGCATGAAGCCCACCACGCGCCGCTCGGTTCGGGGCCCGGGCCGTCGGCACGCAGGGAAGGAAAAACGGCCGTCTGACCTGCAGGAGAGCCGCTCTTAGGCAGGGTGTTGATACTCGTATTTTCATGCCTTGCATTCATGCCTACCTTTTGCTGCTCTTGTGAGGAACCCAGAGTGACTCAGATAGGTTTCCTCCTCTCCGTTTTGTCCTCCCAACAACCACCCTGTGAGGTAGGTGAGGCTAGGAACGAGGGACTGGCCCAAAGCACCCAGCGGGCTTCACAGCTGAATGGGCGCCGGAACCCAGATCGCCTGGGGCCCCCAAGTCCCCAGCCTAATACCCCCCCGCCCCCGATATCACCCTGGCCTTGTGGCGTGACTCTCACACTCACA